AATCCTGAAAAAAATTTTAGTTTAAATATTACTTGAATTTCTTAAAAACAAAATATTATTCAAATTTCCTTTGTTTCTTTCTAGGCATTCTTTACCCACACTTACCTTATCTCATCCCTATACCCCTGCGGAATTCAGCGTAAATACAAAAGCCGGTGCTGACATTTCTCCGAGGGATAATTAATAGCTGTTTTGTATCCAGCTGAATGCAAAAGGGGTAAACATGGCAGGGCGCCTTCTTTTGGGAATGGGACCGGGATTCCCTATATCAACTCCCTTTTTCCCCTTTCAAGGTTCGGCTCGGAATACTCAATTCAATTCGGGAATTCTGATTATTTCAATTCACTTCGTGGCACCCAATTGGACGCGTGATTCGGTCTTCAAACGTAGCGGATCGAAATCAGCAAGAATTCTAAAGAAATTCAATTTATCTTCGACGCGGCGATCGACATATTCCTATGCCCACCTTTTGTACAGACGCCCGAGTTTGCTGTTCCATTCCTCATTTAACTAAATTCTGTATAATATAAACAATTCTTTGCTTTCTCCTTGCCTAGTCATAACGATACCGTAATTCCTAGCACCACGTCCGTCAAAACATTTACTTTAGGATCAGTAAGCCATTGAAATTCAGCACCATTTCAATGAGTTTTGAAGAAAAAAGGCCTCAAATACTGCACGAATACGATGGCTTATGGGATCGAAGCAAAAAGCGCAAAGTAAAATGAACCTGTTGCGGAGGAGCACGAGTAGCACGCTGTGGCTGATTCCACTGGTTACTGGCTGATGAATAATTCATTCCATTCTGCCGATGCGGCCCACCAGGACCACCGCTTCCTGTATACTGAACACGATGATCCCGACCTCCGAAACGGCTGAAACATAAGTTCTCCGTTCAAAAACACTGCTCGTCAATGCCTGAGTGAATCAAAATACGCATAAAAACATAAGTCTGCTCATGGAGAGGGCAAATACCGCAGATCTACGGAATGCGAGCCCTCGACTGAGAAGGTGATACCGATTTTTATCGAATATAAAACTAATTGTTCGAGAGCTCTTTGCAGCAGAAAGTTGTGTGAAGCGAAATCGCAAAATCGCGTCAGAGATATTTGCGAATGTGAAGCTGGATGCTAACAAGTCTCTAATTCTAACTTTTAACGGAACTACAGGAATTTTTTTTGCCAAAAAATAGTGAATATGTGCAATGAAAATTTTGTCTAAAATTAAACTAATTAAGACAGAATTACTTCCACTGAAACCTACAACCAGAGATTCACAATCAAGTAATTTTTAAAAAATGCAATTACTCGCCATCTTTACACATTTTCGGTTTTATCATGCAAAAGGAAATACGAAAAAGGCCAGGGAGACCACTGCACCCTTAAATTATTAATCACAAGAATTCCCCAAAACATATTTAACTATCTGCAACATTTCAGATTCCTCAGTGGCAGGGGCCAGAGCAGTTCAACGGCATCAGACGAAGGGCAGGGAAAACAAGAAACCTCCAGGGACGGACGGCTCACCGTAGTTACGCAGGGCTTCGCAAACCGAAATACATATTAATTCCATACCAACCGCGAGAGATGTGAAGCAAATCCAAGGGAAATAGACGGCAAAATAGGTAAGGGGGGCTCAAAAAGTCAGAAATTTCAGCGGAGATGCAACTAATAATAGTGCTGGCCTGAAGGCAGAAAAAAATGAACTTCGAAACATCCGAAAGAAGACTTCAAAACTACAAACCTGCCTCCCTTCGCACGATTTGGTCGTGTTCCACATCGCTGCGCATCAGTTGCCATTTTTTCTAGCCACTCTGGAAGCTCCTGGTTTGCTTCAACAACCAATTCTGCTAAATCACGCGCTATATTTCGATTCTTGTCGTTAAAGAAAGAAGTTGCTAGCCCTGAAAGGAAAAAAAAACGATCATATCGACCTTTATATGACGTTTGTTTCAAAAAAACTTTTTTAGGTATATTAGA